GAACCCCTTTCTGGGTTTTCTTACCCAGAGTTCGATTTCACTCCACAGACCCACTGTTATTTAAACACAGCCCCGTATAAGAGAAAAAAACCAAAGCAAAACAGACTGCGCTGAATGGAGCCCAGCCTGCCTAGAGCCACTTCAGCTCCTCTCATTAGCTGTAAATGCCAAGTGGTGCTGTATTTTGGGTCACCTCCCGTTAGCATGCACCAAACCTGACTTAACAGCAACTTCACAAGACCACACTGAACTGTCAAATTCCTGCTCTGTCATGTTCAGTTCCATTTCCATGCAAACAGCCTGCATTCAGGCAACCTTCCAACAGATATGCCGAGCAATCAGAAGTTTTCCGACCTGCTGTAAGGCACCCCTATTGTGAGTATATATTATAACATAACTTTAACATGTTATTCCACATCCAAATTGCTGCCTTTGTTCCAGAGGGCTGAGCTACAGTTCCTGTGGGAGCTATGAACTGTGCGTTTGCAAGCAGAATTAGGTTTCTGTTCTATTTCTGAAGCTCTGCAATTCACTTCCTGCCTCGCACGTGGACTGGAATTTTGCTTAGATGCAAAGCTTAGATTGAGCTGTCAGTCACAATATACTTCTCTTTTTCCTGTTTTAGAAAAGGGATTTATATCAGTAAAGGATGCACTCAGCTAAAAATCCTGTAGTTTGAACTACAGTGGCTCTGGAGCAAAATATCTGAGAGAGATGAAAGTATGTAACAGAATTAATTTTGCAACACACGCAAGCCTAACTTATGTCCAAATCCCAGCGTTGCTAAACTAAAAAGAGTGGTCTCTGCTGGCTGTACCGGACTTGGAATCAAATCCCCATAGAGCTTAATAAGAAGTTGTCCAGGAAAAAACAGACTGATTTTCTGTGACAGTGTATTTTCTAGCAATGATGTCAATGATTTCTGCACACTGCTTATTGTTTGAGGGAGACATTCTCAGACCCTCACTCATGACCCAACTCTGAAGTCAAGATTACGGTTCATGGATAATTTTCCACATACAGTCCTCAGCAATTTTCAAAAGATTCTTAAAAGAAGACCATAGCAAGCAGAACAGAAATAAAAACAGTTAGCTGGATATTAAAACTAGATAAAATCAAGTTAGTAATAAATCATAGATTTTCAACAGCAATTTTTGCAAACCTATAGAAAGAAGCTTAGAGGCTCCTAAGTCAAAGCAGATAAGGAGCTGGAGAACCATAACTAGTAACTGCCTCACCACACACCACCTGATCAACTCCATTGCATGTGAAAGGGAAGCAGAAGGTAACTCATTGTTAAAACTCCACTGAATACTTTCCATTCTGACTGTATTTCCCCCTCCATCCCCAGTACTGAAAGGTATCAAGATGTTTATGCATCCTTATTCAAATCAGTATCATAAAAGACACAGAGAGACCTCAATTTTGCAAAATAAAGCACGACTAGGATATTTATCATCTCACCTTTCTCCAGAGCTTAGTTTGGAATTAGCTTTGTGACTTGGCGAATTAGCTTACACACTGATATTTTTAAATGATGATTAATTTTTCCAGCTCCTCAGAATCCAGGCTTAATTCCAGTAATTGCAGTTGCTCATTACTATAGCTTGTTAATGCTTATTTAATCTTCAAGGCAACAACTTAGACTCTCCATCTCTGGATACTGTTAAAAAGGGGTTATATACACATCTGTCAGGTACGATGTTGGTATAGTTGCACTTGCCTTCAGAAGGAGAGATGGCTTAGTGGCCTCTCAAGGTCCTTTTCAGGCCTAATTTTCTGTGATGTAACTCTATTATAATGCAACCTAATTGAACTAATTCAAGAGAACTTTACCCCATTACAATATCTTCCCCACACTCGCTTATCTTCTGCTTGTGCTTTAATAAATCCTTTTTCTGTAGTGTGGTTTGGCCATAAGAAAAGCACAAAGCAGATCTTTGAGGAACTCCCTCTAGGCTAGATAAATAACATTCAGGTGGCAGATAGGGAACCTTCTGCTGTATCTTTCTATTCTACCATCTGTTGTACATGATGTAAAACTTTGATATTCAAAACTAGGAAGAGAGGAATAAAACAAAGTCTTACATCATGGCTTCACAGTCACTGCTACTGAGTCTGTTCACCAGTAGAGCGCCCAGCAGCATAAGCTTGATCTGGACTGGATATGGGCAGAAGACTGCATTTCTATCAAATTATTCACGGTACCTGAGATACAGACAACACCTGCTCTGACAAAAAATTTGTCAGTGCAGTTTTCATTCACTATCCGAACGTTTGAATGATATTTGGACACATCCAAATTATATCTGTGGCACCTGGGTTTTGCAACATGGGGCCCCTATGTCTTTGAAACACTCATAGGGGTCTTTCTGATGGGTTGTTGTATGATCAGACTGTGGCCTAAAAAGAAGCGAGTGCTTTGGACCCTGATGTTACTTGAGGTGAATGAGACTTTTTAAGGCTGGTCTTATAACCATTATGAAGCAGTTTACAAGCCATCAGCTCATATTTTTGAAGACTAAAACATTATAGAAAATCCCTGGTGTATTCTCTGTAATTTCTTACCTCTTCTGCTGCTTTTTTTCCTTTTTTTTTCTTATTCCATCCTCTTACCACATTAGTAAAGACCAGAAGTCATTATAACATTCTTTTTGACAGATCAAATCCCTCTAGACTCATCTCCGTAATGGTGTGGACATTTTTTTCTGGAAAAAGTCAAAAAACATTAGAATATTATTCAGTATATTATCATATTTCATCTGTTCATTTTTAATTGCCTCTAGAGTTTGGCTTTATGTCTTTCCTTTCAACACAAAGATTTCTTCTAGGCCTGAGATGTAAATTAGCACTGGGCAAAGCAATTCTGAAAAGAGAAGAGGAGAGAGGCTGAAAATATCACCCCGGCTCAAAAAAGAATCAACCAAAACTAAGCTAAATAGGCTATATGCTCTCAGCTGAGGCCCTCTCTGTCTTCCCACTCACTCCTGTGTCTTGATGAAGACCCAAGTCTACCCACTGCACGCAGTGCGCCTGTTGGAGTGATCTGGCCTAGGAACATGAGAAACATTCACATGAGAAGTGTTCACCCCTTTGGAGAGCAGCACAGAAGCTTTAAAATCTCCCATGCTCAAACCCAACCTTCCCTGTTACTACTTTGCCAAAACTTCTGACAGGATTTCAGTGTTAGTCTTCTACAGATGTTGTTTTCTGAGTGGGGCTATACAATGTGGAAGCCACAGTAGCAAGTAATTTAAATCCTTTAAGCTCCCATGTTTGTCACTAGAGAGGAGTATGGTAGGACTGACGGATGGGATGTTATGAGGTTTGCAAACACCTAACCTGAGTGGAAAAAACAGAGTTTTGGCAATCACAAAGTGAATTGGAGGGAGACACTTGGAAAGGGTAGTTTGTAGTTTGTCAGCCAACACTGGGAGAGAAGATAAAGGAAGGAGTTACCTGGCCTGGGAGGAGAAAGAGAGCACCGGGTTATCAAAAGAGCATGGACACCAGGGAGCCATCTGGATCTCTTTCTGCTGTTTGCAGCTAATCGTCAAACATTTAGTGGAACATTGCTCCCCATGGGCATAAATCTCTGTTCATGCTTACAGTGGAAACAGTAACACAAAATTAGAAGCATGTTTTCTAATATTGTGTTGTTTACAAACACACTGGCTGGGAAAGGATGAAAGTTGATTCTGTTTTTAAGTGATTTTATCACGTGCTTTAATTCTCTAAAATTAACCGTGGCAAACTTAGCGGCCTCTGACGGTCAGACATAATAAACTCCCCCACTCTATCGTTGTTTTTGAAACACTAATGCCTAGCTCTAAAAAACGAAACAAGACAAAGCAAAACAAATTCCCAAATAATACTCTTAATTTGATTTCAGTTCTCTCCTTCAACTCCATTTGCCTCAGATGAAAAGAAGGGTCCGACCCCCCACCATTGTCTGTATACATACAAGGAACACTACTGAAGTCCGTGACGTTTCTCCATTAATGGCCAGATCGGCCGCAAAATCTGGCCAGCTGATTTCAGGAAGAGTTTTCCCAGTGGCAAATTTGTGCTGTATCCTGCTACAGAAAGTAGCAAATCTACTTCCTTTCAGTATTGCACACCCACTGCCCTGCCCTAAACAGAGGCAGATGATAATGCTGCACTAAGATGATCTGTTACAGACAAGGTGATGGAGAGAGGAAAGAGGTACCAGAGAATAACAGTTTTCATTCCCTGATCCTCCGTTAGAGCCACAGTCAGGACTGGCTTTCCTTACACAAGGAGGGGACCAATGACCGGTATGCTGCTGCCCCCTCCAAAAAGGTGTGCTTTGAAGCAGAGCATGGTAGGAACCAGCCCATCCCCAGCTTGCCTGCCACCCACCTCCCCTGTTTGACAACATATCATCTTAAATAGTAAGGTCTTATTCTTAATGTGCTCTGTGACTAGTCTCCCCTGGAAGGGCTCAATGCTGACCACAAGCATCATTTCATCAAGTGTTTTTCCATCTGTGCTGAGGACACACATGGCACGTTCTATCTAGGAGTTTTGTTTGGACACAATGAGATACACTAATGGTGCTGCGTCAATACACAGTTCATAGTCTCTCATGAAATCCTTGGTGTTGCCAGAATATTGCCTGGTTTATGCTAAATCAACTATCTCTTCATTCATTTCTTCGGTACCACATCATTCTTCTTTTTTTAAATATTCGGTGGTTTGTTTGGGTTGGGTTTTTATGCATGTGCTTATGCTCATCTCTTGCCTTTGTTCCAGTCTGAAGAGTTATGTTTTCCCTAGCATAGCAGTGGCTGCACAACAACAAAACCCCATATATCCCACGCTAAAGGCTACATTATTTCAATGCTGTCTGAAATCATTGCTGTATCTGTAACCCCTTCCCTCTGAGGAGCTTACAAAAGGGGCTACATAACTGTACACCAATTTAAAAAAAAGCCCACTACATAGGGAGTGTCATTGTTCGTGTGAATTGCTTTTGTAACATTAAAAAACACAAGTGACCAAGTGTGGTGATGTATCTACAGATTCAGATGCTGGTTTCACATGAGGCTGAGTATTTTCACTGAGTACTGAAGACTGAACTTGGTTATAGAATATCTCCTAATTTTATTCAGGACTGATCAAATAACAGAATATACTTTATCCAAACAAAAAGTTACTGGGTTTATCAAAGATATAAAGGGAACCTGTGTCATCCAGGCAGCTGGAGCAGATAACTTAACGGTGAGTTTCAGCCTAACATATATGAAGAATCTGGCCTATATTGTAAAAAAAGAGATCATTCTGATCAGATTAGGGATGCTGTGCTATGGGCCCATAACATAGACTGCTGTTTAGCAGTGCTATTCTGGGAACTACAATGCCACATTCTTCCTGGGATGCTCAAAGCTGATTGGATCTTGAACACATCTATGTGTTCCAAAACATTTGGGGATCTTGATTTCAACCCTCTACAAGAAAAAAAAAGTAAATCACATTTGGACTGAGATGCAATATGTTTTGATAGGGAATTAACTATGGTATGGTTTGGCAGCAGATAAAACTTAACTGCTCTTCACAGCATCCTGCAATGCTGCTAAGGACCTATACACGGACAGCAGGATCAATATAAGCTAAACTTGCATTTCATAGCTGGAATCAGAGCCACTTCTTACTGACGAAATAATAAAACAGCTAAAGAACAAACATGAGATACTCAGGCACGTGAACATTTTCTGAAACCACATATAACGAAGGCTTTAGTAATGCACAACTCAGCCTCCTAGCTCAGTTTTATTGGCCATTATCTCACTGGATTTGGAGCAACTGCTCTGAATGCAGTAAAAGACATTCATTCTTCACAATGTTTTCCCACGTAACTGGCAAATTTATTATTGTTATAAAACAGGACACAATTTTGAAATCCTCAGCATGCCTAACTTTTAATAGTGCCAAATATGTTTCTCTTTTCATTAGCATTCAGGGATCACTATGCCCAAACCACCTTCATCTACTTTTTCCACTCGGATGCAACTGAAGTTGGATCATGTCAGTTCTGGTTCAGGGTAATAGCTGAGCAGTAAGATATACTGGGAGGCCCTTACCAAAATCTGACGGAAACTGCTAGAAGTGCACAGCATGCCCTCCCACCTTAAATATTTGCTCATGCTCCACTAGCCTATTTCAATCTGATGTGAACTCTTGAGGCTACGTCATCTTCCTGGTTGAGAACTATAGACACTTCTCTTACTTTGTAGAATGGCTGCAAAAGTAGATATGTTCAGAAATTCAAAAAATGCTGAAGAACAAATGAGTGTAAAATAATCCTTCAGAATGAATGTTTTCTTCAACAGGCTTTGCATGTTTTCCACCACCAAGAAAAAAAGTGAATGAAATGACAATACTACACTATCCAGGTGATAACTGCCTGAAGAGGTTTTGCAGGTAAAACAGGGCATCCAGGTACTTGGTCAGCCAAATTTTACGTCTCCTAGGGGAAAGTATTTTCTTTCCTCTGCTTTCCAGTCCCTGCACAGAGAGCAGGAACTTACAGCCACAGACCTCCTGGCTTCTCTTGGGATTACTCAGCTCTTTGGACCTCAGTCCAAGGAGCTAGATCCCAGTGCCAGTCATTCTAAGCACATCTTTGATAGTCTTCCTCTCCCTCATGAAGTCACTTTGGAGGCTTGATACAAGACATGAAGATGGTTTCCCTCAGCTGGATATGCCTCACCTTCCTGCTAGAGGAAGGCTTCTTCAGAAAGCCTGAATCCTTTGTCCTTCTCCGACTTCACTGGACACCTTCTCACCCTGCTCTCTCTCATCCTATCCACCCTTCCCTCTCTTAGAGACCCATCCCAGGGTTCACCACAGCCCGGTAGCACCAGTGAATGAGATGTGGTACCCATTCAAATCATCCTCTGCTGTCCTGTTGACTAACTCCTGCACCAGCTGTATCCCTGCCTTCAGGGTAGCCAGGTTTCAGCAGAAGCATAGAGAAGAGAGGAAACGGTATCACAGCTAGCACCATGAATCACATCAAATTTTGCCTTACATATCTTGCAGTAAGGACCTGCAGTCTTTGTTCAACACACAGGTCATAAGCTCAGGCATATGTGTTTCCACTTAGCTTCCTGTTATCCCCCTTCACTGTAGCCGTCACTCCTTTTTCTCTTTGTCATACTCAGATCTAGCCCCAGAAAGCAAGGGTTGGATACTTCTCATCTCACTGGAGTCACCTAGGAGTCTGGCATAGCCTAAGACAGTTGTCTGTGCTTTGCCTGCGGTAAATGGAGAGAGAGGCAGCCCCAGAGGGCTGTTCATCCTGCTGTATTTAGGTATTTCAGAGGGGAAATGCATCACCTTTTAGAAAGCATGAGAGTAGACAGCAAGCTAAGGTGAAAAGCCTAACGTTCACATTGTTACAGTCAAATGATGCCACCCTTACGGCTCAAACAATGAAGATCTGAAAGACTGACTGATAAAGAATTTCACTCCCCTGGAAGCCCCCATGTCCTCTCTTTTCCATTATCACTCCCAAGTTGAGGGGTGGGGGTCAGGTTTTTCTGGTGTCACCAGAAGACTGTGAGGACTGTGAAGGCATATTCTACATTGGTCTGCGGGGCTGACATCAGTTCTGTGCAGTGTCGTGCTCAGCGTTAGGTTATCCTTTGGGTCAGCAGCCCCACATATATCTTTCAAACTTATT